AACACAGGAAATTCCACCTGAACTTAGGGAACCACTTTTTACAGTGTGGATGGTTGAACGTGGGCATGCATTGCTCAGACAGGCAGGGGAGTCTGGCCTTGCAGATATTCAAACCCTCAGTGACTTGCTGTAGTGGACCCTGCTTGAGCAAAGGAGGTGGACTGGACAATCCCCAGAGATGTCTTCCAACCTCAACTGTTCTGTGATTCTATGAAGTGAATATACAAATATACAAATGTAACGTCTCTATATGAATACAAAATATTATAAAATTAAATACTGACATAACTCAGTCACTCAAGTGACAATTTTTCACCAAGCTTGAACAAAAGCAGTTGAGTGTCTTGTGGGATAAAGAATGATTTATTCATTCTTCGTAGCCTTCCTTCTTTCACATCCATTGTGGAATCCTTTCGTGCCATCAGGACCTTTAGGCAGCCGCAGCACTCCTACAGGTAGACCATCTGCATTTTGTATTTTCCGAGCCAACATGGGGCTACTGACAGGACTCTTCTCTTGCGTTACAGTTTGAGCTTTTCTTCTCTGTACCCAGGGGCTACCAGAAGGAGTGATACTGCTATCTGAGGAATAATCTGTACATTTCCTTGGAATTTCAGGGCTAGTGTTTGGGTTAAGCTTGCTGTCTTCAGCCAGCGGAGACTTTTTGGTTACTCTTCTTAGTGAAGATGGACTGTTCCAAGGACTTGATCTGGGTGACACATTAGGACTCAAATGGCTGTTTGGGTGAATGACGGGGCTCAAATTACTCATAGTATTTGTTGCAATACATTTGCGTCCTGACAATGGTGATGTAGGATTACTCTCTGGGTCAGAAGAACTATTTGCTGAAGATTCATCACCAACAAACTGAAGTTCCTCAACTCTCTTATTAAGGGATCTAGCCTTTTTAAGACTCTTGCTGGTATCTTCATCGTGGTTCTTGTCTTTGGGAACTTTTTTCTTTGGAGGTTTCATGCCTATTAGGCTAACTTTCATGCCGGTCTCTTTCTTTTCAGCACACATGAATTCATGAGCACGTATGGCAGCATCTACTTCTTCAAATTCTATAATTGCACATTCCTGAGTTCCCAGTTGGGTGTACCGATTGCTGACCCTCCTGATATCAGGTGGTAGATCCCTACCAGGCTTGAGAATACGAACTGATGAAATTACACCAAAAGTTACAAAGGCTTTGAGAAGATGCTCCATTATCCTT